ATTCTCATATAGATCAAATTTCATTTTTCATCACAAATTATATATTCACATCATATTTTCTTTTTATTATTTAAAAATGACGATTAATTGCTTGTCCATATTTAATTTCAATATGTATTAAATTAAATAAAATCTTATTTTGTTTACCCCCTTTTATTGTATATTTAATAATGAGTCGTTTCACTGTAAGGCTAAAGAAAAGGAGGAAAAAAATGGAAACTAGTTTAAAATAAAATAAGAGAAACCATATTTAGCAGTAAGCAAATTTTAATTGTAAATAGTAATATAAATGTAAAATCGATCGATCCAAAATGTAATTATTAAAAGTTTTTTTTAGTAACAAATAATTAATTCTTTTTCTTGTAATTTTTATAAGTTAACATATAAAATTTTGCTTGACACTAATTTCATAGTTTTTACCAGGGACCCGGAGTCAACCGTAACGAACCTTTAAACCATTATAAATATCTGAACCGAACCGATAAAATTATTTATTGAAGGAGTAAAAAGAACCTTTATAAAAAAAGGTTAAACCGGTTAAGTTTTTTTATTTTAGAAATGGAAATAACTTGAATATTAATTATATACACTTGCTGTTACTGGCGGTTCTTGCAACACAAGTTTCTGTAGCAAGGGCCTTTTCGGGGCTAAAATTTGTTTTATCCTCTCATCAAACAAATATGAATCCATTTATATTAGAAAATATATTACTTATGCGTTAAAATAATATATTTAAAGATGTGTTATTTTGAATCTTATATATTTTTTTAATATATAATTCATAGATGCTAATAATAAAAACAAATTAGACGAAGGTGTTGCTTCAATAAAAAAAATTTTAAACCGTAATTAACCATCATAAACCTTTACAATTAGCTGAACCAAACTGAACTTTTATAAATTTTTTCTTAAGAACTACTGAACCGTAACCAAACTAAACCGTTATAAATAACGGTTGGGTCCCTGGTTTTTACAGTCTTGTTTACATTAATTAGTTTTTATTATTATTCAATAATTTTTTGCATTTAAAGAGAAGTTGCTTAGAGATGGAATAATATTTCCTAAAATAATAAAAATAAAATTTGATATTTATTCTATCTCCAATTTTATTGTTTTAAAGAAAATCGTAAATAAAAAATATATCAAAATGCATCTAAAAATAGATACTCCTGACTAGATATAGATAGTTGTTATAAAGGTGTATAAAGATACAGATACCATATTTTTATAACTTTTGTTATTTGTTTTAATACCGAATTGATAAATTATCAAATAAAACAAAATGACTTGAATATTTTCTACCTCCTGAAAATTAATTATCAGGCAAAGAGGAAGAATAAGAAGGAAATCCTTAATATTTTTCGGGGTGTGGGCCGCGCCATGTTTAATAATATTGTTACGGTCCTGCAGGACTCTCTAGTCCTAATCTCTCTTACCCTACGCTCACTAATGAGCAGGGTTGCCATGCCTCCCCCCATCAGTGGGAGTCTCCCACAATTTTTTAGTTTACCCACATACATCTCACTTCCACAAAACTCCCACAATTAGAAATCTCCCACAATCTCCCACAATTTTTTAATTTCTCCCACAATTTTTTTTTTAGCATTTTAATGTTTTTAATATATAAATAATAATTTTGAGAGACAGTATTTGATTATTTTTATATTTTTAAAATAAATTTTAAATATTTATTCGAAAAATATGTCTAGTTTTTTTATTTTATTTTTCCGCTAATTTTAAATTCTCCATTCAATTTTATCCATTCGACATTTTCAAAATTTGAAGTTAGAATAGTATGGGAAACTAGTGCTTTTTTTATATTTTTATTTATATATACCATGATAGTTATCTTCTAGGTGAGATTTAGATTGTTTTGAGGTTAAAGCACTAGTTTCCAATACTGATGTTGTTTTTTGGACAATAAAATGTTATAATTAAATATATAAAAAGAAAAATTATTTTCAATATAAATTGCTTATTAATATTAGAAGTAATATTTTTAAAAATTAGCAATGAAAGTGGAACTCATCTTAGAAAATATTATTATCCTAATCATCTTTAATCTAAGCTTAAAAAATCCTAAATATTATACATATTTTATATTTTTATTTATATATACCATGATAGTTATCTTCTAGGTGAGATTTAGATTGTTTTGAGGTTAAAGCATTAGTTTCCAATACTGATGTTGTTTTTTGGACAATAAAATGTTATAATTAAATATATAAAAAGAAAAATTATTTTCAATATAAACTGCTTATGTACTATTATATATTAAAAAATATATTATTAATATTAGAAGTAATATTTTTAAAAATTAGCAATGAAAGTGGAACTCATCTTAGAAAATATTATTATCTTAATCATCTTTAATCTAAGCTTAAGATATCCTAAGAGGCCGAGTTAATGGTTAAACAAAATTATAAAATGTCATGCCAGGATTTTTATAAATATCTTAATAACGACGGTAAACGTTTAGTTCCATTATTTAAATCTCATATAAAATATAATTAACTATAACTATTTGACTTTCTATATTTTATAAAATCTTATTTATACATTTTCATAAAATCAAATAAATTTATTTTTTACATTGTAAAATTAATATTTTGAATATTTTGGCAAATCATAAAAATAAAGAAGCATTACAATCTCCTCAAACATGACATCATATTAAATCTTATTAATAATTATCCGATAATAGTAATATTCTTACTTTGGTATTTCTGCAGCATAATTTAGTGAGCCTTTATTAAATTATATTCTTCTGATTGCAACTGCATATTAACAGCATATAGTAGATTTCCTATATGTAAAATTCCTAAATATACTTCTGCCATTTATTTTTGAAAATTATTTTCAAATAGGACAGCTTTTATAATCTATTTATTTTTTAAAGGTTTGTATTTTAAAATTCTACGATGGCGCGTATTAGGAGGAACCTGTCAACCAACATTATGCTGACTCAATTCTGTAAATACACTCTGGTTTTTGCCAAATTCACTGAGGAATTATCAGATCAGAAAGCTACCATGCAATTCATTGGTAATGCCAAATCTGCCATATTTACCATTATATATGGTTAGCTATGTCTTTGGATATTTCATATCTGGAGAAAAATTTTTTAATAGTTTTATTAAAATGACATTAATTTTGTTGAAATAGGGGAGGATCAAGGGAAATGTTTTGATATCTCCTTATTAGATGCATCTGTTAGAATTGCATATGTTTGCACATCTTTCAAATCGTCAAGAATTGACCTTCTGGATTTATATTCTAAAACATTGTTGATAGCCTTGCTCATTTTGTGTTCTACAAAGTATACTTTTCATTTATATTAGTCGTTAAATATTATGGGGAAAGATTCTACCAACATTGAGATGTTGAGTAACTCTCTGAATGTTGTACTGCATGATAGGTATTTACCATTTCCGCAACTGTAGTTGCATCTATATTATTTCTTATTTTTGAAGAATATTTTTGTTTTGAAATAGATGTTGATAGAATGCCCTGTACTGATTTATGCTTTGAAGATTTTTGATACCTCAAAATATCATATTCCCTTCCCCCATTTATTTTTTTACATTGTAAAATTACAATTTTTTATAAAATTTTATCTCGTTTACATTCTTTTGTATTTAAAAAAGATCGTTGGTTATTATTTTTAAACAAAATTAATATATCATAATAAATCAATATGTTTTTTTAATAATAAAGATAGTACTCTAAGAAATTTTGTGTCGTACAGTAATTACCTATTTTGAAAAATAGTTGGGTATTTTATTTTGGAAAATAGTTAACTATTTTATTTTGAAAAAGAGTTGGATATTTTATTTTGAAAAATAGTTAGGCTATTTTATTTTGAAAAAGAGTTGGATATTTTATTTTGAAAAATAGTTGGCTATTTTATTTTGAAAAATAGTTGGCTATTTTATTTTGAAAAAAAGTTAGCTATTTTATTTTAAAAAAAGTTAGCTATTTTATTTTGAAAAATAATTACCTATTTTATTTTGGAAAATAGATTAGATTTTATATTTATAAAAAATAATAAGTGGATAACTAAGTCAATTCTAAATCCCGGTCCTTTGCAGGCCGAAGGCCTGCGGGAAAATTTTTTTTAGCAATTTCTCCCACAATTTTTATATTTCTCCCACAAAATACCTAATTTCTCCCACAATTTGAAAATTTTGACCTGGCAACCCTGCTAATGAGTAGTAATATTTTATTGTTTGAGATCTAAAATTTAAAAAAAAAATAGTTTTCCTTATTTTCCAAAATTGGGCTTACTATCTTTCTAGTAATTTTTCTTTTCATATTTATAAGTTTCTTCTAATATAAATTTAAAAAAAACAACTGATATCATTTATTTCGACGAATATTTAAAAAATTATTTTTGCACTTTTTAAATTATTTATTATTGTTTACAAAAAAATATTTAATGAAAAACAAATAAAAGTAAACAAATAAACGGATAAAGGCATCATTATTAATGATTCTAAATGATAAAAAGTGGTGAGTATATTATAAAAAAAATAAATCATTTAAATTAATGATAAAAAAATGAATATAAAAGGCAAACAAATAAATAAAAAGCCAAATTTTAATGATTATAAGAAAAAAATAGAAAATAAAGAAATGTAATAAAAAAAAAAAAATCTAATATGAAAAGAATTACTTTTGGTAATATATCTGGTATATAATTTTCATGTACAATTAGCAAAATATATTTTTTATGTATAAATAAGCAAACAATTATTAATATGAAAAAACAAATAAATAATAAAAAGCGATCATTAATGATTTACACAATTATATTGAATAATGAAAAATAAATAAATTTGTAACAAATATAATATAGAAAGCAAATTAATACGAAAATAAACAAAATTAAGTTATTTCTAAATGCCTTCTAAAAAGAAATTATTTGATATGATTTATATAAAGTAAACAAAATAATGGTATGAATAAATTATAGTAAACAAATTTATAAGAAACAAAAACGATAGAAAAAATAAATAATTAAATTTGAGTCTTTATTATGAAAAAATATTTTTTAATATTTAAAAAAAGTACACGCTTTAAAATTTTTTACTTATATATCCTTAAAAAATTAACCAATTTGAATCAACTTGTTTACTTTCTCCACCAAAAATTGTCATTAAAAAAACCAATCTAAGGTACAATTAATATTTCTAGATAAAAGTTATGTAAATTGTCTGTAAACATATTTGGAGAAAATTAATAAAATTGAGTCTTGTTTACACTTTTTAAGTTGTTCAAAAAAAGTTTGTTTACTCTTTCATAATCAGTTTGGTTTACATTTTCATTTTGCAAAATATTTTTGTTTATTTTGGTATATAAAATTAGAATACTATTCTTATACAAGATTGTATTCTTTGAGATTGAGTTGTAGAATGGTATCTTTGACGGCCGCGAAAACGAATCTTATATTTTCTGTGTCTAGTAAAATAAATGTAATAATTTAAAAAAAGAATATTAAATTTGGATAGTTAAATGTTTTTTAACAGTATAATTGTGAAAGTTTATTATAATTTGTTCATTTTATGTATATGAGGCAGTGTTGTTAAAGTAGCCGCTACTAGCGTGGTACTTTTTTTAATAGCGGTAGATTTAATAGTGCCCTACTTTTTTTCAATGGCGGTAGCTTTCTTGCGCGCTAAATTCAAAAAAAGTAGCGGTCGCTCGTTACTAATTTACAAAGTAGCGAGGTAGCACCAATTTTATAATTTACTAAAATCATAATATTTTTATTTAAATAAATTTGAAATTTATATTTAAAATATAAATTATAAATCTAGTTTCCAAAATATTTAAAATGTACACAATAGAGATTGATATTAAAGATAATTTTGGTAAATATCATATCGACAACAAAGTAATTTTACTGTAAAATGATAATATTGAATTTTCTTTTTCTAAATTCTCAAACTATTTAATCTAGATAAAAAAATTAATAGGGTATAAATTTCGTTGTAAGATGTACCAGAAGGATTTATCAAACAAGAATAATAGCCAATTTGAGAAAACATTTAAAGGCAATATATAAAACAAATTTAATATGTGTAGCCCAATCCTTAAAATAAAATTTAAATCAAATCTTTATCTAATTAATAGTTTTTGAGCTTGATAAGTTAATGTAAAGTTGATTTTCTGGCCTAGTCCAAACATGGTATATGTTTCAATTGGCCATAAGATATTATTTAAGAATTATATTATAAATTAAAAATTCCAATAAATAATTAATATTAACATACCATTTTATCATCAATATTTTATAAATTATTATCTGGATGTTAAACATAACTGCTAATGTTTCATCCTAGTTTCAAGTTGAATTGGTTATATATTAATTTGACTGAATTCAAAGTGCAACTCCTAGCCAAAGAAAAACGCCACCTACTATAGATGATTTTTTGAAATAAATAATAATATTATTGAAAATCCTATAGACGCATTTTTTAATCTAAAAATAATCAAATGAATATTTTTGATAATTTTCTAATATTATGTGTATTAAATTTAATAATGCAATGCCCTAAATGCTAGTGAATAATTATTTAGTACAGTAAAGCTTAACTTTCTGATCGTCGCTTTAGACTTGGGGATAACAGTATAGAAAAGTTATTATTATTGATATGGCATAAAAAAAAAATTATATATATTTAAAATTAGTCATATTTTTATATCATGCGCTATTTTTAAAAGTAGCCTTTAACAACACTGATATGAGGTAGATTATATGTAAATCCTGCACTTTATATAATGCTTGAAAATTATAACTTTTAATAATTAATAAATTAGTCTCATATAATATAGTAAAAAGAAAATCAATGATAAAAGAATATAAAAGATATGAAAACGAAGATTGGGAAAGATGAATAGAAAAAATAAGGGAGGAACGAAATAAATCTTCTATTTTTTTCATTAGAAAATAATAAAACGGATTAAATACCGCAAAACCAACTTGCAAAATTTTCAAAATGCGTTTTTTTGCATTTATAGATCTATTAATACGTTTTCTATCATATCTTAAATGCTCTTAAGCTAATATATCTAATAGAAATGTATCATTTCATAATTAAGATATTTTAAAATTTGGGTAAAAATATGTATATTACCAAAACCAACTTCATATATATTCGTCCATTCACAATTTTTTATTTTATTAATCTTTAAATTTCGATAAAAATAATACTACTCAATTTAAAACAAATATTTTTAATATTATATTACAGTTAATATAAACTAGCTAATGTGTAAACTGGCTAGCTAATATACAAACTAGCGAGCTCATTTTTGTTTTATGAATTATTTCCAGGTTTTTAAAGTTCTGTCCCTATTTTTAATTCTTTTAACCCATTTTTGATTATTTTGATTTTTTTAAACTTAATTGATCTCTTTGTTTAATTTTATATTTCTCTTTCAATTTGAAGATTTTTATAAAATTAAATTTGATTTCTCTTCATTTTTTTTTGTAAAAAAAATTAGCTTGATTTTCATCTCCCCTCCTCATTTTTGAGTATTTAATGTTTTTAGAAGAATATATTTCATATATATATTTGTATTTCTAATTGTTGACATTTTTATTACTTATTTTTATCCCTTTTGATGTCTATGCAAAGATGGTCAGGCCAGCTACCCATATTGTCTATCTAGATCTATAGGTAAAAAGCTGAGAATGCCAAGTGGTGAACGAGGAGTCTATATACAGTACATGTTAGAAAGATGGGGTCTCCAAATTCTGATCCCTAAATCTCCTACCTAGGAGTCCTCATCATCATTGTAGAAATTTTTATAGAGGACTAGGATCTGGCTCTAATGTCTCGAGGTCTTTAGATGTCATTAATCAGCACCTTCAGATTAGAATGATCCTGTGTCCTACTGGTGTTGTAAACCAGTACGTATATACGATTACCAGTTTATCGAGACTATTCTCATTCTATTATGTCACCTTGAATGATTTTTTATTGATTCTTGTGATGGGCAAATTATTATCGATTCCAAGCTCCCTTACCACTGAGATCGCACACACGTTATGCCTCAAATATCAATGCTTCGGACTCGCATATTGACATCTTGTTTTGAGGACATTTCAATTTCATGCAAGAATGCTACACTTCTTCTCCAGACCAGAATATGCAATTGGATACATCAGTGCCAAAGAAACCCCAGCCATAGCAGTAAGCACCATCCTATGGGGGCATACCCTATACAACCCCTGATTCTACCGTGTCTTACTATGTCTAAAGGAGGATCCCGATCACAATCAATCGAGATAGTAAATCTTGAACAAGCTAGGACTGAATGGCATCACAGAAATATCCTAAATTCACATGGATAACAATCCAGCTGACGAAACATCTAGGAATTAGAAACCGACCTTTATATGGTTTACTATTTAGCAATTAAACAAGGGCCGTCTCCCTCGTCAATTTCTCGGATACCTATCATACAATTCAGGACGACTATACCCTTCTTTTGTCTTACATTTTCCTGACATCTCAATCAACTCTCAGGATCTATGCTTAATTTGAAAATAAATAATTTCCAACATATTAATATATAAACGGCCTATATTATTAGATTTATTATATTGTCGTTTTTATTTTCTTTGTTTGTTTTATTGTACCATTATATATTACCTTATTTTGATTATTTACTGTAATGCTGGTTATTTCAAAATAGAAGAGCGCAGGGTACTAAAGATATAAAAGCCAAGGTACCCCCTGAAAATACCCCCTCCCATTTTTTAAAAAAAGTTGCAATTCTCTTTTTTTAATATTTTTCTGTATGTTAAAATGCTTAGGTATACTACCTAATTCATTTGCCTCACTAAAGGTTATTCTCTTTTTATATTATATTTAAACAGTAACAAGACATCACATAGTCGAATTGGTTTCTCGTAAACATACTTAATATCCTGCGTCCAAAAAGGAAAATCCAACTTATTGACTAATTACTACAAACACATATTGTGGTTCTAACTCAACATTTCTTCATAATTTTATTACTTCCAGGGATTTGTTGTATAATGACTTGATTCCTATACCCCCAGGTTTTAGAAAAAAGGAATGCTTACATCCATGAGAAGGGGGGTAATTTGATATTTAAAATTTCTTCTAAAAGTCCTTGATTGTGCTTTCGAGAGAAAAAGTTGATCAAGGTATATGAAAAATACAGACGATCTGAGTGCATGAAGGATTTTAGGTATATAAAGAAAATTTTTTGCTAGAAAAAATGAATGGTGAGGTAGAAGCAATAGGAGTCAGGACTTTAGGTCTTGTATGAATTTAAAACACTTTTTTATACATACCTCTCTCCCGAAAATCTCAGGATATCATTAGGGCCTCGTCTCAACTACAATATCGTCACATCATACTCATGCACCTTTTGCAACACTCTGGATAAAAGGCACCACTGCTTACACGTAAAATTTATCAGACACCCTGCTGCGGGCATTTAACAACCTAATCCACAAGACGCTATCAGCCAACATTCATCCCACCTTAAAACCAGTCGGACTAAATGTTTCTGACAATAAAAGACCAGACGATTTCACTCTTACGCCTTGATAGAAATGGAAATCTTTGGTATGGGATTATACCTATATAGATGCGTTTGAAAAAATCGAACGCATAATATGCATCCATTGCGGCCGCTGAATCATCCAAACGTAACAAATAATCTAGGGAACTTCGGCGAAGAAGTGTATTTTTAAAAACTTTAGTTACCACAATAAACTGGAGACCCTAAAGATAATTATCTTAGATAAAGAATATCTCTCGATATGTAGATCTAATTTTACCTTCATCCTTAGTTCAATACCTGACAATATATCTTTTAAGCCCCTGACCCCTCTGTTTTTCAAAATTTTAATTTATATAATTATTTAAATTTTTTCCTATAATATAAGTTTTAATATAGTTATCTAAATATATATTTTTTATTGATAATATAATAAATTATGATAATAAAAATTAATGAAAAATAAATTTTTTATTTCGTGGAATCATATTTTTTCTTCACATTTTTCAAAATTTTCTGGTTTTTATAACTACCATTTTATATTATAATTATTAAATAAAACATTTATTTGTAAATTATAAGTGTATTTGTATGGAGTATAAAAATAAATGAAAAAAGGTGATAATATGAGTCAATATTTCTTTATGTTCTCCAAACCTTGAACCAGGGGAACCTTTTTAAATTTTATTCCTAAATTCGGACCTTTTTTTGCCGAAGGGTTCACTTCCCTGTTAAAAAACACACAAAAATAGGTAGAAAAAATATCAAATATAAGAAAATTTAAAAAAAATTAAAATTCAAAAATAGACCAAAATGAGATAATTAAAATTAAACAAAAATATAAAAGGTAGATAAAAGTTGGGAAAAGTTGGGAAAATCAATTTTTTTTTAAATACTCAAAAATCATAGAAAAA